TATTTTCTATTGGGCTGGGGAATACCATCAAAGGGTGAGCTTTTCAGCTTTCTGTGAAAATCCCCAGGACCTTGTTTGGCCATTTCTATGGAAATGTGGTGTCAGATGAGTGGTAATGGTGCCCTCCAGTGGCTGGAGACCTCATTGTACACAGCCTCCGGGAGTTCTAGGCCATGGACCAGGAGAGGAAAACTACCAGCTGTACTCTTTTGACTTATCTACAGCTACAATGTTGCATTCATGAAAAACTACGCGGTGCTAGGCCCATCCCAGGACATGGATATGACCACACCCTCCTTCATCAGGGTGTCTCTGTAGCAGGTTTTCATATTCTTTTCAAACAATGGTTTCTCTGCGTTTATTGTTGAAAAAACAGGTAGGGTAAGAAAACTACCCATGCATGATGTAGAGAGCTGTTGATTTGTTTTTGGTTTGTTTGTTTTGTTTTGTTTTTTGGTTTTTGGTTTTTTTTTTTAAAGGAGAACTATTTGTAAAATGTTGCACTAAAATGTTTTATATACACTTCAGAGACCTGTAGTAAATTATGTTGAAAATATGGCTGTTTACAGTTACTGGAGCCCAGTGTCCTTCTTTCTCATAACCGGCCTCTCTCCTCCGTGAAACTGTGCCCTGGGAGCATGGAGTTCTGCCCCTGGCATTGTGTTGGCCTGCTAGGCTCAAGGGTCAAGAACTGCAGCCTTTATTACCCCGCCCTGCCCCCAGCCTAAAGAGTGCCTTTGTACAAATGATGGGGGCAACAAAACAAGACAAAAAAGCCTTTCCCAAGACGCTTTACTGCCATCTGCTGAAGACGAATCATAGTGAATGTACACAACTACCCTGTCAAGGCCATACTGCCCCCAGGTCTGTGCACACACCACACACCTGGAGGCCTGATAGGCAGGTTCAGAAGGCAGAGCTTAACCAGCTTTCCTTTTTAGGGGGATGGGACAGGAAGGGGTGGGAGGAGACTGATGGAGAAGGAGCGCAGGAACGGGAATAACCTTCCCCTTGCCTACGGAGGGCCTCCACAGCAAGACCACACCACCTTTGCCAAACAATGGAGTGCTGTCCCGACCTGAACTTGTCAGCAAGCATTTTCCAGGATACAGGAACTGCACAGGAGCTGTGTCTTCCTGCTCAGGGTGCCTTCCTGCACAGCACGCCAGTCCATGTTCCCCGCGTCCCTCGAATGCTGGTGTGGTACGGAGGAGTTCGCCACCTCTGCAAAATGAGAATGATAGAATGATTAAAACCACAGCAGTGATACATGATCTGTAATTCTTTACATTGTACAGAATATGCAAAAGAAAAATGCAGGTAAAAAGCAGAGGGAGGCGCTTCCTTTTCTCTTTAAAAATCCAAACCCTTCAGAGGTTTTAATCTGTGCTTTCCTCTGTTCTGCAGCCTCATCTGCTGCATCCTTATCAACTTCTTGCAGCTGCTGGCGGGGCCAGAAGTTGAAATGGGGATTGTTTATCCCCTGGGTACCCAGAATGCTTCCATGTTATGTCTTACGTTCTACTTTTGCCTAATTTTTCTCCCAAATGCTCTCTTTCTGCCAGGGAACATTTTAAAAAGGGAAATGGAGTACTGTGGAAGAAGATTACCCATCTACGCCTTTGGTGCAAATTTGCCCAGTGTTTATATAAGGGAAGGGAATGTACATTTCTATGAGAGGCAGGGACAATTTCCATGTATGCAAGATTAGGAGCAGTGTTTTGCTCAGCTCATCCTGGGATTTCTAAGCTTCCTGGGGGTAGTTCCAAGGTTGGCAAGAACTAGAGCCAGAGTACCAGAGAGGGGCATGCTAGGAAGAGTAGCAACCTCAGGCCACGTGAGCAGGTTGGATGAGCCCTCCTTTCTTACCTCTAGCTCATGATTTATCTATAGTGACAAGCAGATAAGACTGGACCTCAATACTGGCCACAGGATGAATAATACATCCACTCTCCTTTTGGGGGCAAGTTTTCAGTATACGAATAGAGCCTTTTTGGCCCATTGCCTAACTCAGGTCCACCTTTCCGAGCCACTTTTGACTCATGAAGTCTGCTGGACCAGGCACAGAAGCTCCTGTAAAAATGCTTGGTAGAAGGGAGTACCTGGCTGGCTCAGTCAGTAGGGCGTGTGACTCTTAATCTTGGGGTTTGGGGTTTGAGCCCCACGTTGGGTATGATGTAAATATTTCCAAAAAATAGCTTGACAGAAGCCCAGCATTTCTCTTACTGAAAAAGCTGGCACTGCTCGTTGGTCTTGGTCAGAGGAGCATCTAACCAAAGAAGACCTAACAAATCATTCCTCACCCAAAGGCTGGAGACCATGACCTGAGGCATACTTCCCAGCCCCACATGACTGGGCAGAACTTTCCCCAGCCATGCTGGGTTGACAGTGCCTGCTGGCTAATCCAATCAATAGCATGGCCGCCTATCCAAAAGTTGCATCCTGTTCATGTATTGAGAGGGTAAGAGTGGCACTTTAGATTTAACTTCAGTTGGACTCCCAGGTCTGCCCCTTACTGTGTGTCCCTGGGCAAGTCATTTACCTTCTCTGAGTCTCCGTTTCCTCATCTTTGAAAATAGAGCAAGATTAAATTAATTCGGGTAATGCACTTTAACACAAGGCCTGGCTTGGTAAGTGCTCAGCAGATGTTTGCTGTTATATCACTTCTCAGTTCAAAAACGTTCAGAGGCTCTCCAGTGTCTAAAAGTTTGACCCCATCCGACCTTTCTCAGTTGGCCTGAGTTCCCACCAGCTCCGAACAGAGCAGAAACTTGATTTTCTCACATTTTGTGCTATACACTGCACCTGCCTCAGGTTCTCAGTATCTACAGATGGTAGGGAATGTTTTAAGGTAAGAGGCTTCCTGGTACATGACATTGGTCCCAGAAATTTCACTGACAGAAATACCTTTTAAGATTTAAGGTTTTTTTTTTTTTTAAAGTACGCTCCCCACCCAGCGTAGAGCCCAACACAGGGCTTGAACTCACAACCCTGAGATCAAGACCTGAGCTGAGATCAAGAGTCAGGTGCTTAACTGACTGAGCCACCCAAGGCGCCCCCAGATACCTTTTAAGACCTTATGCCTGACTTAAGAACTAATGAATTCTTACAGTACAGTTCAACCGTCTTGAGTGGTTTTGTGATCCTCACTTGAGGATGATGGAGATGACAGCAACAATAAAGCACATCTCCACTCAGTTTCACAACTGACACGTTGATGTTTATAAGGACAGCAAGGTGTCCTGTTCACCTGAAGAGCTTCAGAGTTCCCTTAGCTCCCACAGCTCCCACAGCAGGGTCAATTCATGTGCTTCTCTTTGAAAGGGGTCAGACAGGGAAGCCACGTGAGGAGCTGGTTCTGGGAGTTACTTGGTCTGGAGTCAGATTTGAGGGAGGACAAGCCCATCGAGAAGACTAACCACTAGGGGGCGCCTGGGTGGCGCGGTCAGTGAAACCGCGGCCTTTGGCTCCGGTCCTGGGATGGAGGCCCAAGTCCGGCTCCCTGCTCAGCGGGGAGTCTGCTTCTCCCTCTGCCCCTCCCCCCCGGCTCGTTCTCTCTCTCTCAAATAAATAAATGAATGAACGAACGAACGAATGAATAAAATAAATAAATAAATAAATCTTAAAAAAAAAAGACTAACCACTAGCATGGAGTGTTCCAGGTGACTTTCGCAGCTGGGGCGGGAGGTTTCGTAGGAGGCCGAACAGTGAGGGGGCGACCAGACCTGACTCCTTAGCCTAAGGGAAAGTCCACAGCTGAGATGGAGGAAGAGGAAAACAGAGGAAACTGAGAAGGGAGAAACCCAAGGCTAGAAGTCCCAGCTCCGGGGAAAGAGAAGGTTGGGGGGGGGGGCAGGCTTAAGGAAAATCTGGTCTGAACTTGAGTGAGACCGGCGGGACCGGCTGCACCAGGTACCCCGTACGGTCTAGCAGTTGCCCACAATGTCCCGCTTCCTTTTGTTCAGCATGTTGCTGCTGCTCGAAAACGCTGAAGGAAGTGCTTCAGAGCCTCCCAGTCCTTCGGCAGAGTTCTCCTGTCACCGTAGGGTCCAGCCGAGTGGGATGCAGCTTTGCCCGGGGGGGGGGGGCACAGTTTCCCCTCCCCCCTCCCCGACACCCCCAGTTACGGAGTTGCCTCCGTCACGTCCCAGACGTCCAGGAAAAGTGCTGGAGGAGCGGGAGGAACGAAAATAAGCCTGGTTTTTAAAAACGCAAGCCACTCTGAAGGAAGAGCTCCGCAGAGCAGACGGGAGGCCGCCGGACGGCTCTGGGGACTCGCCCGGAGAGGAAGCTGGCGCGGCGGGCGGGACCCGGCCAGGGCGGCGTGGGGGGCGGGGCCAGGGCGGCGCCAGGGCGGTGCCGGGGACGGGGCAGGCGCCGGAGTGGTTAAAGACCGCGGGAAGCTGCTCGAGAACTAGTACACCCCTGCGCAGGCCGGCCCTAGAGGCCTGCCGGACGCGCCATGACCGCCGGGAGAGTCTGGGGCTGGGCCGCGGGGGTCCTCGGCGTGGTCTGCCTGGTGCTGCAGTTCGGTGAGTGGAGGAGGCCTTCCTCGGGCCCTGGCGGGGACTGGGCAGCGCTGGGGGTGTCGGTGGCTTCAGGGCTCCGGGGCTGGGTGGACGGGCGGGGCTCGAGGTGGCCACAACTGGGTTGGGGAGAAGAAACGCAGCGAGCGGGACCTGGTCCGGCCGAGTTGTCACTTCAACAAGTCTCCCGTGGGTAGTCAGGAAGCAGCCTTGACTTTAGGCACCGGAATCCGCGTTTGGAATAGGAACGGGACTCCGGCTCGCTCACTTCTCCGTTGGTTTCTTCTCTTAAGAATACTTAACCCCCGGGGCGCCTGGGTGGCTCGGTCGTTACATGTCTGCCTTCGGCTCAGGTCATGGTCCCAGGGTCCTGGGATCGAGCCCCACGTCGGGCTCCCTGCTCAGCGGGAAGCTTGCTTCGCCCTCTTCCCACTCCCCCTGCTTGTGTTCCCTCTCTCGTTGTGTCTCTCTCTGTCAAATAAAATCTAAAAAAAAAAAAACAAAACAAAGAATCCTTAACCCCCAACTCCCTCAAGGCCTTTCACCTCTCCACCACCTCCACACCTCCGGAAGGGGGTGCCTTTGCTGAGGTTCCAGTGACTGCTGAGCCACTTGTCGCCCCCACCATCACCCGCGGGGTATGGTCGCCGAGCATTTGGACGGACCTTTCACTGCTTCCGCCGCCGGTGAGCTCTCCCGGGACGGCTCCCGTCAGCGGGTTCCGCCTACCCAAAGAACGCGGTTTATCCGCGGCGCGCGGAGTGGGGCGCAGGAGCCGCGACAGCCGATTGGTTCCCCCGTCCCCCCTTCCGACGCCGCGCCGCGTTTGAGTTGCGCTCCTGAGGGAAGGGTACCGGGCTTGGGACAGGGACCGGTCGAGAGAAATGTCTGAATCGCTCCAGGATTTCGAAGCAGGGCGGCTGGTGCTCCTTTCCCCTCCCTTGAAAACGTCAAAGAACTCTGTGCGTCTAGAACTGCTTTCATCCCTTTCCCACTTCTTCAGCCAAATTAACAGCCCCATGAAATAAGTATCTGTCTCCATTTTTACCTCCCCACCTTTATAAACCCCTACACACACAGTCATAGCCAACCCCCTGGAGCATAGTAACAAACGCTTAACTAGTTCTTCTTTCCTTGAGGGTTTCCGGTTGGGGGCCCCTTTGCACATACTACAGATCAATCTTGCAATCCTCATTCTGCACTCAGCTTCCACTATGGGGTATGTGTCTATGGAGGCCCGCCTAGCGGGGAGGGGTTGAGAGATCTCAAGGGTGCCAACAGTTTAAGGCACAGAAGTAAATGTCGTTAAGACAGGCTGAGCATAAAGTGCTATGGGCGTGCACAGGGAAGGGAGCAACGTCTTTTGTGAATCAAGTATCTCTTGTGACACAGAAACTTCCTGGAAGGGGAGCGTTTTTGAACCTGACCTCCAAGGCTAGACGGTGTGTGGACGAGTCATGACGTGGGAAAAGATTCCGAGAGGTGAAAAAGACGGGAGCACAGTGTACAGGGTGAACCTGGCAGTTGAGAGTCATTCAGTGTCCCTGGAGCATAAGTGTGCTGGTGGGAGCTGGAGGCCCCAGGACAGAGCCCTGCACATCCCGGATGGGAGTTTGGAGAATTCTTTTGGGGCCTCACAGAATCGGAACCATGCGTGTAGGAGGAATAGTCTGGCAGCAGTATGGAGAAAGGATTGCAGCTGGGAGTCATTGGAGGCGGGGATGCCATCACAGGGCGGATGCCATCACAGGACCCCCTGAGACTTTTCTATGCTGGTGACTGTGGGAAACGGGGAGATGCAGGTTCAGGCCGAGCCTGACCCAATGAGAAGCAGCCCACCAGTGATAAAGAGCATCAGCTCTCCAGTCAGTGCTTGGCTTCCCACCCTGGCCCTGCTCCTTATATGGAATTATAATTTCCAAAAGTTACCTAACTTCTGTGAGCCTCACACTATCTTTGCCTTGGAAGAGAGAGAGAGAGCACCCCTCACTGGTGAGGGAGGGTAATGATAACATGTACTGCCTAGACTGTGAACATGAGTCACTGAACACAGTTTTACTGGGGGTCCACCCTGTGTTGGGCACTGTACAAGGAACCGGGGTTACAACAAGAAGCAGACTTCCCTGCCTCTTTGAAGCTTACATTATAGTCGGGGAGAGAGACAGAAAGTGAATTAATGAGTAAATATCTAGATGTTGGGTGGTGGTACAATAAACACTAACACAGAGATTAGTAATGCAGAGGAAAGGGGAGTGGGCATCGTTAATATTTCTTTAAAACTTTGGGACATTGGAAATCTTTAGAATAGTTGCAAAAAATAGTATGATGAACACGTACACACTTTGCTCCTGGAATCCCCAGTTATTAACATTTTGAACACATTTGGTTTACTTCTATTTACACACACACTTAATTTTTTTTTTGTCTAAACATTTGAGAGTTGTAGATCTTATGATAGCTTACCCGTAAATATTTCATCATATGTCTTCTAAGAACAGTATGTCTCCAGGAATCCGTGAAACCATGATCAAAGTCCGGAAATACACCATCAATATAATACTGTTTTCTGATAGAGTCCAGAAGCCGATCCTGGATCACACACTGCATTTGGTAGTCTTGCCTCTTTAATCCCCTTTAATCTAAAACTTGCCAACTCTTTTTTTTTTTTTTTTTTGGTACTTTATGATATCACCATTTTTGAAAGGTCTGGACCAGTTTTATAGAATGTCCCTAGATTTGGATGGTCTGTTTCCTTATGATTAGATTCTGGTTAAAACTTTGAGGAATGTTCCATAGGCGTGTCGTGCCGTTCTCTGTGCATCTCATTAGAGAGCACATGCAGTCCATTTGTCCCGTTATTGGAGCCCTTAACTTTGGTTATTTGGTTAAGGTGATCCACCAGATTTCTCCATCACAGAGGTACCTGTTCCCCTTTGTATTAATACATGACGTATCAAGTGACACTTTGAGATTGTGTGACTATCCTGTTCCGCAACAATCTTTCATCCAGTGTTTTAGCTGTTTTGGCATCCAGTGGTGATTCTTTCCCAAGTCCACTAAAATATTGGTAGACGGCAGTTCTCTATCCCCATTTTTCCTTATACATCATTGACATTCTTCAGTAATGAAGAACTTTTGCACCTCCTTTTTAATTTTATTTTTTTAGTATAAGTATGGACCCAGGGGTATTTCTTAAGATGGCATTTTTGTCATCTATTTTGATGCTCGGTGATCCAGACTTTGGCAAATGGGAACCCCTCTGTGCTTCTGTGTTCTTTGCCATGTTTCCATCAGTTTTTGAGAACTTCCTACTTTCTGGCACAGAAGGATGTCTTGGACTCATTTGTACCTTTTCTGCCTCCGCCTGTAATCATTAGATTCTCTCATTCCTTTTAGTGGGAGATAGGACTTAGAAATCAGTATCTGGGTGCTAGGTGTGCTCAAGGCTACTGGAGTCATGGTTTCTAGGCTGTCAGTTCTCAGAGCTGGGAAATAGAGTGTCGCCAAGTCGTAAGTTTATCCTGTTACCGCCAAGCCTAATCTAACAATTTGGTTCATCTTTCTCTTCCTCCATTCCCTATTTGTATCTCCTTTTGCCACAGTGAGAACTCTATTCCTCATAGAATCCGTATGTTTTCCTAATATACATTAAACACAAAATAATTTCGTAATTGCTATACCGAGACCACTACCAAGCACAAACCTTACTAAATACAGTTCACAGGTTCTTCACAGCTTTTTTTATTCTTCCATATATCCTGTTGTATATGTACAGAAGACTGTCTTTTAAAATTACTTGGATTAATTTTTTTTTCTTCTGAGTGGTAGTGCTATCAACTCAATATATGCTTGCATTGATTTGTTTTGTTTCTATTCAGTTTTAGGGTTTCCCCCCTTGATTTAATTTTTAAATATTAATATGGTGCCAGTCAAGCCATATAGAGAGATGCTCAGGGAAACCCTATTCCCACCTTCTCCCTCTGTCATAATAGGTACTATTTGTTTCTGTTTTATCTTTGTTTCTTTTTGTAGATATAAATAGATAATGCAACAACGGTAACAATAGTGTCATACTCTGTGTACTCTTTTGTACCTTGTTTTTGTCTCTTAACCATATGTCTGGTTCATCATTCCGTATCAGTTCATAGAGATCATCCTCATTCCTTTTTTATAGCAACATAGTCCTCCATGGGCTGAATGTATGATGTTGCATTCAGCTACCCTACTCTTCAGGTTAGGGTTCAATACTGTGTAGTCAGGGGAGGGTCTCTTTTAAAAGGATGACAGTTGAGTGTAGCCTTGAGTGGGCCAGGCAACTGTCTGGGGGAGTAGTATTCCGGGCAGGGGGCTAGCAGCAAAAACCCTAAGCCAGGCTTCTGACATTTAAGGGATTTCAAGTAGACCATTGTACCAGAAAGTAGTAGGAAATGAAGTTGTAAACACAGGGCTAGGACTTAAGAGATAAAGTTTTGTGGGCCCCTTTAAAGACTGCGACTTTTTTACTCCCAGTCACATGGGATGTTTTGGAGGATTTTGAACAGGAGTGAAATTACAATGAGTGGAATGTGTAAGTGAATTATTCTGGCGGCTTTGTGAACAGTCTGTAGAGTGGGCAAAGGAGAAGCAGGGGGACCAGCTGGGGAGGCCATAGGAACAATGCAGATAAGAAATGACTGCAAGAGAGGGGGATTGAATGGGAGGTAGGGGGGTATGGTTGGAAGGTAGAGCCAGCAGGATTGGGTGCTGGGGTGCATCGTCAAGATACCACATGGACAGAGCTGAGGTAGTGCCAGGCAGGTAGCAAAGCTCAATAAGAACTGTTGTATTGGGTGCCTGGGTGGCTCAGTTGGTTAAGCGACTGCCTCCGGCTCAGGTCATGATCCCGGAGTCCTGGGATCGAGTCCCGCATCGGGCTCCCTGCTCCGCAGGGAGTCTGCTTCTCCCTCTGACCCTCCCCCCTCTCATGTGCTCTCTCTCATTCTCTCTCTCTTTCAAATAAATAAATA